TTTTTCATATGGAATAGATTGTGTCTTACTGTGGGAAACTCGGTTGAGTATTTGAGTAGCTGTTAAAATAGCTTCGCCCCACATGTTCTCGGATAAACCGGAACTTATCAATAAGGCATTCATCATCTCCTTCAATGTTCGATTTTTCCTTTCCGCAATTCCATTGGATTGAGGAGTGTATGGGGCGGTAGTTTGGTGAATAATGTCAAATTCCAAACATACTTCTTCAAACAGAGATACATATTCACCGCCTCTATCACTTCTGATCATTTTGATCTTTTTATTGAGTTGTGTCTCAACTTCATTTTTGTATTGTTTAAATGCAATAATAGCTTCATCTTTACTATTAAGCAAATAAACATAGCAATATCGTGTGCTATCATCAATAAAAGTTATAAAAAACTTCTTGCCACCGCGAGATGGTGATGATTTCACGTCACAAATATCTGTATGAATTAAGTCTAGAGGTTCACTACTTTTCTCAACTGATTTGAAAGAATGTTTAGTAAACTTAGATTCAACACAAACTTCACACTTTGATTGCTTACAGTCAAATTTGGGCAACAATTCCAAATTGATCATTTTTCTCAGAGACTTGTAATTCACGTGTCCCAATCTAGCGTGCCATAGATTATTCGACTCGAGTAAGTAAGCGGAAGAATCATTCTTATTGTCATTCATGGTCATTACATTGAGTTTGAAAAGTCCCTCAGTGAGGTAACCTTTTCCAACATACATGCATTCTTACTTATTACAAGCTTATCGGAAACAAAAACACATTTGAATCTGTGTTTCACCATAAGTGATGTCGACACTAAGTTCTTCTGAATCTCCGGTACATGAAGAACATTAGTGAGAGTCACTATCTTTCCGGAGGTCATCTTGAGGGCAACCTTTCCAGTCCCTTCAACCTTCGCAGTTGTGGAATTTCCCATGAACACAGTTTCTCCATCTTTAGCGGGAACATAAGATGAGAACATCCACTTATTGGCACACACATGGCGGGTAGCACCGGAATCCATCCACCATTCGTTGGGATTTCCAACCAAGTTAACTTCAGAGATCATGGCACACAAATCAATATCTTCCACTCCGGAAGCAATCTCCATGATGTTAACATTGTTTTTCTTCTTGATCTTTGGACCACGACAATCCACAACTCGGTGACCAAGCTTACCGCAGTTGTGGCAAGAACCCTTAAATTTCTTAACAAATTTATTCGGGTTATCCTTTTGGTTAGAAAAATTCTTTCTTTTCTTACCAACATATGGAGCATGTTCAATGACGTTTGCTCCTAAGACCGAGCTTGTCCCGCGAGCTTTCACTTCGGTCATCTTGTTGTCCTCTTCAATTCTGAGACGAACAATCAAGTCTTCAAGCGACATCTCTTTTCGCTTGTGTTTCAAGTAGTTCTTGAAGTCCTTCCATGAGGGTGGTAACTTCTCGATGAAGGCAGCTACTTGAAAAGCTTCATTGATCATCATACCTTCAGCAAGAAGATTCTGAACAATGACTTGTAATTCTTGAACTTGGGTTGAGACAAGTTTATTGTCAACCATCTTGAATTCAAGAAACTTAGCGGCTATGAACTTCTTCATACCGACATCTTCAGTTTTGTACTTCTTCTCGAGAGCCTCCCATAACTCTCGTGAAGTAGGAACTGTACAAAAGACATTATATAATGAGTCATCTAAACCACTCAAAATATAGTTCTTACACAGGAAGTCTGGGTCCTTCCAAGCCTCAATCACCACGAAGCGTTCCTTTTCCGGTACAGACTCTGCCGGTTTAGGAGCATCTTCCTTGATGTATCTTTGCAATGACAATGTTGTCAAATAAAAGAACATCTTTGCCTGCCACTTCTTGAAATCAACACCGAAAAACTTGGCCGGTTTTTCCGCAGGTGCTGGTGCAGGGAGAGTCACTGTGGGTACAACCACATGCGTAGCAGCAACATTTTCAGCCATTTTCTGAAAAATTAGCATACCACTTTTTAGTATTACAACTAAAAAATATCAGAATTTTAAAACCTTACGGTAATAATTTCTGAACTCGATTATTTAACCACGCGGGTAATAATCTCAAAACCTCAATGAGGAAACCATAAAACTATTTAAGTGTTATTTAGATCGTTTCCAGGTAAGAGGGAGCCAACTCTATATATAGAGCGCATAATTATCCAACCTCTTTCCTTGGCAAAACTTTCTCACCGTCAACACTTAAATATTTTCTCGGTTTTTTTTTTCCGAAATTGAAAAATTTACTTTGTCTCCCCGGGGACGAAAGTTCGTTTTTCCACCAATAACAAGATAATATATAATCACACAATACACAATAATTTCCTTAAGCTTGTTGGGTGTGTTATTTTATATGTCTCATATTCATGCTTTATTAACTTTCAATTCCATTCCAAGAACTTCGAGCTTAATAACTTTCAAAATATACAACTACATCACGCATGTCATACATCAGTAGAAAGATAATTTCGATATCTATGAAACGACGTCAAGAACATGCAATTCCGATAACGGTATAGAAAGTTATGTTCAAACCAACATCATTATATCAATATGATTTTTAAAACCGAAAAACCAAATCCGAACCCACGGCGAACCGTGTCTCCTTAAGGAAATTATTCCCCGCGCGGTACCTACGGTTAATGGAATATATCCTCCCAGGATAGGACGGACATACCTCACCGGAACAATGGTACTTCAAACTCCGGTGCCTTGTCGAACTCAAAGAACGGTTTGAATCACAAAGAGAAAATATGTTTTTCTTTCTTTTGCAAAAGCTTTTGTTTTGTTTTGTGTTTTCCTTGGTGTGTATAAAAATGAAAACAAAGCCTCCTATTTATAGGATTGAAAAATTATAAAACTCCCAAAAGTCATAAATATTTTTTTAAGTTTTAGAATATAAATGTGGAGAATAACATACAAAAATATCTCCTTTCATTTAATTAAAAAAAACTCCAACAATGAACATATCCATGGACCAGATATATCACAAACCACATCAAACATTGATTCTGAAATACCACATGGTTCTGCAACCACAGCTTCTCACCGTCCCAAAAGAAACATACAGAGACCTACCTATCTTGAGCAGTATCATTGTTATGCTGCACATTCCAAACCTTTTTCTACTGATTCTTCTCTCTACCCTTTGTCATCTGTTCTTCAGTATGACAAACTTTCACCCACATATAAATCATATATCCTAAACACCACCAATGATACAGAACCCAAATCTTTTCGAGAAGCTGTTGGTTCAGAAAAATGGAGACAAGCTATGGATGTTGAGTTGAAAGCTTTGGCTGGAAATGGAACTTGGTCGATTGTATCTTTGCCAGAAACCAAGAAACCTGTAGGCTGTAAATGGGTCTACAAGGTGAAGAGGAATCCAGATGGAACGGTTGAGAGGTACAAAGCTCGTTTGGTGGCTAAGGGGTTCACGCAACAGGAAGGAGTGGACTTTATTGATACTTTTTCACCGGTGGCCAAATTGGTTACAGTTAAACTGTTGTTAGCCCTTGCAGCAACGCAAAAATGGAGCTTAACACAGGTGGATGTTACAAATGCATTTCTCCATGGTGATCTAGAGGAGGAGATCTATATGAGTTTGCCACCAGGGTACACGAGTGATCATTCTGAAACATTACCTCCACGTCCTGTTTGCAGGCTTCACAAATCCTTATATGGGCTTCGACAAGCCTCGAGGCAATGGTATCAGAAGTTCAGCAGTGTTCTCCTGGATAATGGTTTTCGACAATCACAAGCTGATCACACACTTTTCATTAGAAAGCAAGGTCAGTCTTTTGTGGCTCTACTTGTCTATGTTGATGACATAGTGATAGCAAGCAATGATGATGATGCTGTGAATTTTTTGAAAGGTTTGCTTCGACAACATTTTAACATCAAGGATTTAGGTCCTCTGCGTTTCTTTTTGGGATTAGAGGTAGCTCGTTCATCTAAGGGCATCTCTGTTTCTCAAAGAAAGTATTGTCTGGAACTTTTGGAGGAGACAGGGCTGTTAGGGTCGAAACCTGTTTCTGTGCCTTTTGATCCGAATGTTTCTTTGCACAAAGAAACTGGAGACATTTTGCAAGATGTCACATCATACAGAGCACTTGTTGGAAGGCTGTTGTATCTAACCATCACAAGACCAGACATTGCTTTTGCTGTTCATAAGCTAAGTCAGTTTATGCAGCAACCAACAGAAGTTCACATGAAAGCAGCGCAACGAGTAGTTCGTTATCTGAAGTCAAATCCTGGGCAAGGCTTGTTTTATTCAGCGGAGTCTGATTTGCAGTTGAAAGCTTTTGGAGATGCTGATTGGGCGCAATGTCCGGAAACGAGACGATCAGTCAGTGGGTTTTGTGTGTTTCTTGGGTCGTCTCTCATCTCGTGGAAGGCCAAGAAACAACACACAGTTTCGCGCAGCAGCACTGAGGCTGAGTATCGTGCTTTGGCTAATACCACGTGTGAGTTAACTTGGCTTGATCATCTTCTAACAGATTTTCAGGTTCAGGTTACACGTCCTGCAATTCTCTATTGTGATAATAAGTCCGCAATATACTTGGCATCGAACAATATGTTTCATGAGCGCACGAAACATATTGAAATCGATTGCCATTTGGTTCGTGAGAAATTGAAGGATGTTTTATTCGCTTGATGCATGTGAAGACACAGTACCAGCTAGCGGACATGTTCACCAAGCCTCTACAACCTACTATGTTTCATGGTTTGTTACAGAGATTACAGATCTCAAGTCTTTTTCTTCCACCAGAACAAGACTTGAGGGGAGGGTATTAGACTGTAAATAACGATTTCCGTTAGAGCAGTTATGACACGTAAGCAATGTGTAATGTTATATATGTACGAGAGGCTGTACTGAATGAATTAACAAACTCAGAGTTCTTTTCTCTCACTTTCTCTCACTTTCTCTCACTTTCTCGACGAAGATCTCGCGATCCTGATAGTTTCTGATTCGATGTGCAGCATCGGCACTAAACACCATGCATAGCAGTATGAATTCTCCATCACAGCTATCACAATGGAAGCCATGGGGTGGTGATCCGTGTGGTGAAAACTGGCAAGGCATTACGTGTTTGGATTCACGAGTCACACAAGTGTATTCCTTTTTTTGTTCAAATTCTGGTTTCAATCTTGTGTTTTCTCTCCTTGTGTATGGCTTGTTTCAGGTCAAGCTCACACAACATAGTACGTTGTCTTTTTACTTGCAGAAAGTTACCAAATCTCGGTCTTTCTGGATCACTTGGATACATGCTCGATAAGTTGACTGCTGTTACTGAGTTGTAGGATAATTTACCAAATGTTCAGATTTGTCAATTTGTTATTCAGATGCGTGTCTTAATGCAGAAGATGTTCTTCTAATCTCTTGATGCTCTGTTGAACCTGCAGTGATCTCAGCAACAATAACCTTGGAGGTGATTTGCCATATAACCTTCCTCCAAACGTACAACAACTGTACGTATTAACCCTCTTTCTTCTACTCAGTAATAGCGTTTTCAGGAATTAATCCTAAATCTGGTTTAGCTCCCGGCTTCCAGGAATCTCGCTAATAACCAATTCACAGGGAATGGTCAGTATTCCATTTCTTTGATGGCATCTCTTAAATACCTGTAAGTGCTCCTTCCATTTCAATGGCCTTTCATATTTCTTACAGAGATATTACATTGATGCCTCGTATATTTTGTCCTTTTGGAAACACCAGAAGCCTTGCCCACAACCAGTTCAAGGGGCAATTGGCTGTTGACTTCACGAAACTCACCTCCCTCACTTTCCTGTAAGATCTTTTCCCAAATGTAACCAGCTATGTTTCATTAGTTCATAACTTTAATGTTTGAAACGACAAAACTTTTTGACAAAACCAAATGCTTGTTTCAGGGATCTCTCTTCTAATTCTTTCTCGGGTTCTCTACCAAGCAGCTTTACATCTCTCTCGAGTATAAAATCAATGTAATCATCCAAAGTAGTGTTTAAATGTAAAAAACTCCTTGCATGGCGGTGTGTTACTCATGTGTTTAATCATTTCAAAGGTATCTTCAGAACAACCAGTTCACGGGCACGATAGATCTCCTAGCCGGACTTCCTCTTGAAAATCTGTGGGTAACAAATGTATCTGTCCAGACTTAATAGTATCTTCATTGCCGGTTTTCAGACAAGCCCTTAATACTGTTCTTGTCACATTCTTCTCAGGAATATTGCAAACAATAAATTCACTGGTTGGATCCCAGATTCACTGAAGGGCATTAACTTGCTGTAAGTATTTCAGTTCACACATACCTAACTCTCTGTTTTCATTATCAAAAAACTTTTTTTTTCCTAATACTTTTGAGGATGCCATTGCCACAGAAAGGATGGTAACTCGTTTAACTTGGGACCTGCACCTCCAACGCCTCCTGGTACATCACCTATCCGTAGATCTCCGAGCCATAACTCTCGAGGCAGTGAAAACCACTCTAGTGGTGATTCCAGTAGCAGTGACTCTCGGAAATCAGGGATTGGAGCTGGTGGGATAGCCGGCATAATTATATCATTGTTAGTTGTTGGGGCCGTGGTATCTTTCTTTCTGTTCAAGAGAAAAAGATCAAAGAGGCCATCCTTGGACATCGAGAGGACTGACAACCAACCGTTCACTCTTACGTCAAATGAATTTCAAGGTACAGATCAAAATTATACATGTGTTCTTGCATGTAAATAAGTACATGTATCGATGTTAATACTTTTTTTTAATATTGGGTGCAGAAAATAAGTCTATACAGGGTTCCTCATCAGTTGAAACGAAGAAACTGGATATCTCACTGTCAATTAATCTCCGCCCTCCTCCAGCTGACCGTCACAAATCTTTTGATGATGATGATGATGATTCAATGAGAAAGCCCGTCATTATGAAGAAAACCACTGTGGTTCCTTCTAATGTGAAAGCATATTCAGTTGCAGATCTCCAAATAGCTACTGGAAGTTTCAGCTTAGAGAATTTTCTTGGGGAAGGGACTTTTGGACGTGTATACCGAGCTCATTTTGAGGATGGAAAGGTATTTATATAATCCTCTCTTTTCTACAAACTATGCATTTTTCGTAAAAGCGGGAGTTTATAATATTGATTTTTAAATAATGTTTTAGGTTCTTGCCGTAAAAAAAATAGATTCTTCGGCTCTTCCAGGTGACCAGGTTGATGATTTTATAGAAACAGTGTCAAACATTGCCCGATTGGATAATCCGAATGTTACCAAACTTGTTGGCTACTGCTCAGAACATGGGCAACACCTTCTGGTTTACGAGTTCCACAAAAATGGTTCATTACATGACTTTTTACATCTATCAGAAGAAGAAAACAAACCGTTAATATGGAACTCACGCGTCAAGATCGCCCTTGGCACTGCACGAGCATTAGAGTAAGTCGAGACACTTTATTCGGTTTTTGCCATTTGGATCAGAAGAAGCAGAAAAATGAGTTTCTCGCCTTATCATGTCTTGCAAGTGTATGAAAGTTTGAATCTTTTTCACCGTTAATGCACTTTTAGACATAGAAGAAGAAATCATGGAAGCATGTTCTTGCAGAAGAATCATGGAAGCATTGTTCACTTTCATGTCAAAACATTTCGTTTCTTTTCCTTTTTGTTCAGAAGAAGGAGGTTTCTTGCCTTCTTTTGTCTTGCAAGCATATGAAAGTTTGAAACTTTTTCACCTTTAATGAACTTTTATACACTTGAGAAGAAATCATGGAAGCATTGTTCTTGCAGATACCTGCATGAAGTTTGCTCACCATCTATTGTCCACAAGAATATCAAATCATCCAATATTTTACTCGACTCAGAGTTGAATCCCCATCTCTCAGACTCGGGTCTTACATGCTTCCTTCCCATGGCTGATGAGGTATTATTTCTTATACTTCACCCTTTTTATGTATTCTCTGGTTTCTCCATCTCCAGTTCTTAACTTGTTCTGTTTACTTAATGCTTATACATGTAGCTGTTGAATCAGAGCGATGAAGGAACAGGATACAGTGCACCAGAAGTTTCTATGTCTGGTCAATATTCTACGAAGAGTGATGTTTACAGTTTTGGGGTCGTAATGCTCGAACTCTTAACAGGGAGAAAGCCATTTGATAGGTACTATGTCGCCATATTTTGGACTCAGATTCTTAGCTCTGAAACTCGAAACCAATTTATACTCTTAGAGACGAGGAATATTAATCTGAATTATATGAACATGTACAGGTATTTAACAGATAAAGCACCAAGCATCACCATTACTATCATTAAAATCTTGTCTTTTCTTTGTAAAATTGCTTTTACAGCACGAGGCCGAGGTCTGAGCAGTCATTGGTCAGATGGGCAACACCTCAGCTTCACGATATCAATGCATTGGGCAAAATGGTTGATCCATCCCTCAAAAGGCTCTACCCTGTTAAATCTCTCTCCCGTTTTGCTGATGTCATTGCCCTTTGCGTCCAGGTAACGCATTCATTCAGGCTATGCCCATATTCATCCATTTGCGAAACAGAATGCCCGTAAATCAAACTTCCAGACACATGATCTGACAAATGCTGAACAAATTTGGGTATCTGGTTGGTGTTTTCTGTTGTTGTTGTTGATAGCCTGAGCCAGAGTTCAGACCACCAATGTCAGAAGTGGTACAAGCATTGGTCGTATTGGTGCAGAGGGCTAATATGAGCAAGAGAACCATTGGAGTTGATCAATCCCAACGCTCAAGTAGCGCCGAGGTCAATGATTACATGTAAATTCATTGCCGGAGAAAAAAAAAACAATACTTTGATCTTTAGCTTCTGTGCTCGGATTCTGTGTCGGACAAAGTCACAGTGACGAGACAAAACAGGGTTTATGTTTGGTGAAACTGAAGAACGCTCACTCTCGCAAGTCATTTGTACAATCCCATGCCTCTTTGTAATATTTTATGTTCTTATTTTTCAGCTTTTTAGATTCTGAACGTCCCCTTTGTGTACTGTCAACAAATTATACGAACTCAAAAAGCATCAATGTCAAGACTCAAAAGAGTTGTGCAAAACAAGTCCAGCGTATATTAGATTGATTTCCAAGAAAAGGGATATGAATCTTTTCTTTTGCCGAAGATGATAGATTCATAAATTAAAAAAAAAAAGGTATCAGACTATACTCCTTCAGACATCAAGATAAATGAAACACGAGAGTTGCCATGAAGTTGGAACTCAGTTGTAGACCATATACTTTGGAGTTGCACTGAACTTCTGATAACCCTTTATGACCTTGTTCACTGCATCCAGAAAATCCTTCTCCGTCACCGTCTTTCTCCTTGCCCTTATCGCATACATTCCAGCTTCTGTGCATACACTCCTTATATCCGCTCCTGCAACCATAAAAACCAGAAATCCAGTCATTCTAGAGATACTCTGTGCAGATATAAAAGCATTTCCTAGAAAGGACGGCTCCTGAATGGGAAGAATTCTTTAGAGAATGAATCATATACCGGTGGAGTTTGGACAAAGCCGAGAAAGCAGTTCAAAACGGATGTCTCTCTCACAATTCATGGTCCTCGTATGAATCTTGAAGATCTGTGTCCTGCTTTCAAGATCAGGAAGCCCAAATTCTACCTTACGATCAAGACGGCCAGGACGTAACAGGGCAGGGTCTAGTGTGTCGGGCCTGGAATGGAGACAGCCCAAAACAAAAAGACGACGGTCACCCATGGAGTCCAGCATTGGGCATTGAGTATTTCAAACACGAAGGATGTGAACATACCTGTTCGTTGCCATAAGAACCTTGATGTTTCCACGAGCATCAAACCCGTCAAGCTGATTCACAATTTCAAGCATTGTACGCTGAACTTCATTGTCACCGCCAACGCCATCATCAAATCTTGCACCACCAATGGCATCAACTTCATCAAAGAACACGATACATGCTTTCTTGGAACGTGCCATCTGCAAGCAGGTAAAAACATACAAATCAGAACATGGCTAGCTAAATGAAAAGAAAAAGATCAGACAGCCGACTTTGCGGTTCATTACCTGAAAAAGTTCTCGAACCATCCTGGCGCCTTCACCAACATACTTCTGAACAAGCTCACTACCTATAACCCTAATGAAGCAAGCATCGGTTCTATTGGCCACAGCTCTAGCCAGAAGGGTTTTACCAGTTCCAGGAGGACCATAGCAAAGAACACCCTTTGGAGGGTCAATCCCAAGCTTCACAAATTTCTCAGGATGAAGCATTGGCAGCTCAACAACCTAAGAATATCAGAAGATTATAAGTCATCACTATCTGTTCATTAAAACCCTATGTTTAAATAGCACAGAATATAGTGACACCGAGAAGGAATAACAAACTCAAAACATACTTCTCGCATCTTTTCGATCTGCTCCTTGCACCCACCAACATCATTGTAAGTCACATCAGGTTTCTCTTCGACAGTCATCATGGTCACACTAGGATCAATTTTTGGCGGCAGAGGTATCTGTATCTGATACTTATTCCGATCAACTCTGGAAGCATACACGATAAACGGTGAACAAGATTACACAATTCTGGTCAGTTTTAAACAAGAATACATGAACACATGCAAGAAATCGACAAATATCAAACAGGGTACAACAACAGAAAAAAAATCAGGGTGCAGTAGAAACAGTGACATACCCCACACGCATGCCTTCTTCTATGTCAGTGGGTGAAACTTTATCACCAAGACCCACAACAAACTGCAGCAAAGACAACCAAAACATAATCAGTAATCACAACAGTGAAAAGCTCTAACAGAAACTTTATCACTAAGGCATTTCTATATAAATGTACCTTTGCAATCTGCTTGACATTTATCACATACTTGGCGTCTTCAGTGTTTGGACTTATTATCTTTGTGCATCTTGCAACCTGGATTGTTAAGAGTGCATGGTTTAGAGCCCTTTTAGCTGCTACCTTCAGAAAACTATCATATCGAAGAGGTCTCTTTTAGGAAGAAGGAATACCTGAAGGGGCTGCTCCTCTTGCATCATCTGCTTATCTGAGACGAGATCCCATTGACTGGGAGGAGCTAACCCGGTATCAGATTCCTTGATGCCTGCACGAAAGATGAAAATGCTTATTATGAAGGGTTCAAATTATTTTCTACGAACAACCACTGCCAAGGTTCAGTCACAACACAGAAATCACAGGGAAAAGCCAACTGAAAGCTACAGGAGCAATCGGAATGCATCTATACATACCACAAAGATCATTGATCTTCTTGGCAAGCTCCTTTATTTCTTTCTCCGCTTTCTTTATCGGAGCAGAGTAAGGCCCTAAACCCTGCAATTCGATGGGATACAGGAAAATCAGTACCCACTGACTACACAAATTCCAATCAAAGTAAAAAAAAAAAAAAAAGACACAGAAAAAAATATACAATGAAACGAAATTCTGAAATCTTGTAACTCAATTGAACATTTGCATGAGACGAGACATGAGTCGGAAGATACAGCTAACGCAACCAAACCCCTAAAACATATGACTAGAGGAAAGGGTACCCAATCCAAAAGATTCCCAACTAAATCCATCCATACCCAAAGAGAAACATGAATCCCAGCCAATTTGCTATGCTCATCCAGTCACAACTCACCAGACTCGTAAAATCATTAACACTCAACAACCCACGACAAAAGGAGGAATTTTTCTCGACGAACTCAGAGCAGACATCAATCGGGTCCCCAAAAGAGGATAAACCCCGGCAAATATTTCCCAAAATAAAGACAGAGACAGACATTCCGACAAACTAAAGCATGCAACTTCGAATACCACGCAATGTCAAACAAAATGGGAACTGAGATGAACTCCATAGCAGAAACGTAAGCCGAATCTGAGATTTGGGATGACCCAGAGATACAAATTCGAACAAAACAAGCTGAAAACAAAATTAGGGTTCTTTCTGAAGTCGTACATAAGTCTTGAGGAGAGCGATGTCGTCTTCGTCAAGGGGACGAGGGTTCTTCTCGTCTCTGATCTCGTCTTCAATGTCTCTCGCCATTTGATTTCCTTCGGATTCCGATCGAGGATGGACGTGTGAAAGAATTCAAGAACTGACGATTTTCCGTGCCGGTGAGGAAATATAAAAGGGAGGGATTTTTCCTTTTCTCTCTCCCTCTGTTTCTTTCCATTTCTTTGTACAGTATCATCACGTGCCAGTCGCGTGACGTTTGGGCCATTTCCATTTTAACATTTTTTTTTTCTCTAAAACACAAATGCAGAAGTTTTTGCCTTTTTATATCTCGGGTTTTTTGAAAATTAAAAAATCTACAAATACAGTCTTAACAAAAAAAAAACTTGAAAATACATTTTTTCTGATTTTTCAGAAAACAGTAAGTGGGAGAAATCAGAATGCCTTAATCATATTATTAACCCATGGATTAGTGTTTTGATATCCATAATAATTTTAATAACAGCACGAGATTCAAGTCATAATTCCAATGGCTTGCAGCTAGATTGTGAAAACAAATATCGTATTTATTATCTATATACAGAAGTTTTAATTAAAATTAGGCAAAATATAGAATTAACTATATTATATTCCATCAAATATAAATCATTCAGAAAGCTGAATAGGAGATGTTTTATTTGCCAATTTCAAAGGTTCTGTCTTTTGAAAACTGTTCAACGCAAGCAAAAAAGCATATGGCTTTAGACTTGGTTTCGGTATTTAAGAACGTCGAGTTTGTTCAAATGGAATAACTTGCAGATATCTTGAATGTCCCCCTCATCAAGCCCCTCCTCCTTGCCCTTGAGAAGAAGCCTCTCAAGCTCTTCTGATGGCTGCAAGACCTGCCATCCATTTCCCCATAGAAACCCGAAATGCAGAGCCATGAGAGGGAAGGACACGGAGAAAACGAAGAACACAAAGCCGGGATCTAGAGATTTTACCCATGAGGTGGAAGAGTCGGATTCTTGTTTCTTTTGGCACTGTGACTGGTTTGAGATGAGCTGAAGAAGCTTCTCGCTTCCCTGCAATGTCCGATCACCCGAGAAACACAATCCCACGTCACATAAACCCGAGGGGGTAAACATCAGAAAAAGACTTGACAAATCCGAACATATGAAATGCCAACAAGAGAACTCCTACTTCAGAGTTGTACAAACAAGGAGATTTGACAAGTTAAAACTCGGATTTCGGTCTAAACGTAAAACTACAAGCTTCTATGCATAAACCCGAATCAGTCACTTCCCTGAGGGAGAAACATCAGAAAAGACTTGACAAATCCGAATATCATACATTTCCAGCCATTACTTTGATAGCTAAAACCCAAATCTGGTTTAATCGTAAAAATACGAGCTTCTATGAAAAGGACGCGTATTTCAGAACGTAGTAAGTATCAGACATTACCTGAAAAGCTCTCCAGTGGGAGTAAGTACGGAACAAGACCCAGAAGAAGGGAATGTTAGGAAGTGGCAACACCTAAGTGAAAGGACAGAGGTTTTTGTCATGTTCCATGCAAAACTTGAACAAGTTACAAATTTTGCTGAGGTTTTCATTCAATACATACATACCATGAACACGCTGGTCAATGGAAGCAGAGTCACTGAACCCATAAGGAACTTCTTATGGAGGATTGTTCCTCTGTAATACATCATAGGATATTCATCTCAGTATGAAGAAATAAGGGGAGAGTTCATTATACAAGCCGCTTTTTTCAAGAAGACACTAGAAACGTTACAGAGAGAAAATTACTAGCCGAGAAATATATGTCGGCCAAGCGATTTACCTCATGGCGATATGATATAGTCTCCGCCGTACAAGTTTAGGATCTAAACTGCAACGTTGACAAACATTAGGACAAGAATTCAATGGCGGCATCAGCAAATAAACCCATCACAAGGCAGTAGTAATGAGGAGGAAGACCGAATAGATATGTTTCTAGAAAATCTTGTAAACTCAACAAGAGCATTCACTCATGGAGAGCTGACGAAATCTTATATTCATTACAGGGAGAATGGTGCCAAAGACTGTTATGAGATTAATAATTTACATAAATTACGAAATCAAGAAGAAAAGAACCTCGAAGGATAAGTGACTTCAACAGCCGTCACCTCCTTGGATATCGACTTCAAGAAAATCTCAGAGGGCTTAACACGAGCCAGGAGCCGCAATCCCAACCTTACAATCCAATTTGACATCAGCATTTGCAAAAAAGATCACAACCACGGACCCAAAATGAGAAGAAATGCCTCAAAGATGAAAGTAGAACATCACAAACCCGTGAATCTTGTTCTTCATTGACCCTTCTGGTGCCTTCTCCAGACCCATCCACGCCCTATTCATCTACCATTCCAAGAATAACCCATTAGCATTGAAGAAATCCAAGTTCCGACCAGAGAACACGTGTGGTTCGAACCCAAGACCTTAATCCTAAAGACCCATCGAAGCTCGTTGGTCAGTACCCAGTTCTATGCCGCAAATGGGGATTCCCCACTCAATGAATGCCGTACATATACATATATATCTGCCTATGAATGAATGTGAACACACATGATGTCGAGAGTATTGTATACCTTGTCAGAGATGAAATCAACGACAAGCTCGGCATTGGCGTTGATGGGCTTGGATTCGGACGAGATTTTCTTCCACAGGCTCCGAAGAGTGGTCGGAGTATCGCCGGACGGAGACTGACCGGCGGAATGTTCGATGGATCTGCTGAAACACCAGTTCCTCCCTTTGATCGGGAAAACCACCAATCTCGCTTTCATCACTTCTACACGGAAGAGCTGCTGTGATGTC